GGGACAGAGAAAAAGAGGAAAGATAGAGAGAGAGAAAAAGACAGAGAGAGAAATAACAATCATAATAATATAATAATAATAATAATGACAATGAAAATAATAATAATAATAATAATGCTGCACCCAAATAGAATAAACAGAACCGAGACTACACGGCATAAGTGTCAAGATATATATAAAATATAGTAGGCCTACAGTCAAACTTGCCCAGGAGCCCAAGACAGCCTCATATTGTTAAGGAGAAAAAATTAGCGGCTGTCTAAATTTGATAAAGAAAGTGATGGAAATAGACAATCGGCACTCTCATAATATAATTATTACGATCATTGGTGTCTACCACCCCATAAAAATATGTGAGGCAGCGTGGTGGAATCAGGCTCTCGTCAATTTTTGGGCATGTAGAGTTATTGGTATACTCTTAAAGGTTGTTCACTTGTCTTTATTTGGGTGAAAAAAATATCCATTTATCTTGAATACAAGTCGAGATATTTGCGAAATAAAGAGGTGGGGGTCACCTGTTTTCAGAGGTAAAATTAGTGAGAAAATGGCCGCCAAAGATTAGTTATTTCCGAAGCTTAAGAGTCCGTGGTAACTGAAAATTTACGTTTTTTGTGCTTTTAATCAACGTTTTTCAGAAAAATTCACTCAGAAATGAGTTCTTTAAAAAGGGTATGAAAGGTGTTGAGCCAAAAAACAAAAAAATTGATAAAAATTGACAAACCTGCGAAAAAATGCAAGTTTCTTCACTTTGATGATTTTGACGATAGCCTGATTCCACCACGCTGCCTCACATAGAGAAAATACCCAACAAAAAAGAAGGAAACAACCCATACTACATCAAAACCAAGGTCAGGCTGAAAACATCCACAGGGGAGATTCATTGAAAGATCAGGCAGCGGCAGATACATGATACCGGTACCACTAAGTTCACTAAGAACAAACTGAGAAAGACACGAAAGAAGTTTCCTGCCATCTGGAAAAAGGAAATGTTGAAACAAACATTGACGTGTATTGCTGTTGATTCTTTTTATCAAATTACCCGTACATAATTTGCAGTATAATGCGGATAGCTCGAATTCGTCAGGACCGGCCTCGATAGTTCGAGGGATATCTTACAAAGATAAGGAAGAAGAAAAAAATGGGACCGCAGGCACAGTTCGACGGATGCGTGATTTCGAGTCTCCTGTGTTCGACCTATCCATGTTATACAGTATTATTTGAATATTCTATATATATAACTCAAAAGGTCGGAGAAAAATTCCAGTATGTGGTTGAAAGATGCATCGGATGATTTATATATATATATGTATTATTGTCAGCCTTATTTTTCTCTTCAGACTGAATTTTTATGGAAAGTAACATAATCTATGTGCATATAAAATATATATACAAATATGTTTTCACCATTCCTGTACAGCAAAGAAAAATTCCCACTGGAACAAAGAAGTGTTTGTCTTACTAGAGTTTTTACGGCGCTCGCAACTGCATAAGGTCAAACGAGCGCCAAGAGGTTGATGTCAATAAAGAAGTCCAAACGGGGAATCAGGCTTACTCTGCTCACCACTCTAGCTTCAACAGCACAAAGTCTGCTTTGACTATCAAGGCACCCCGGAAATAGTGGGTCACAAGAGTGTGACAAACATACAAAAGAAGTAGAGGTAAAAATGACGATAGTAGGCTAAGGATTAGGAAAGAAAAAGCAGCAGTTCCCCGATGCAGTTCAGGCACAGTTATGAGCATGACATTGATGAATCAGCCTATTTACAATTTATAATTCTACTGTGCACAAGAACATGGTTAATTTAATGTCCCCCCTTTGGGAATAGCCTAAAGACACTTCAGTCAGTAGCATCGCCCCGGGGGATGGGGGGTAAGTGGTTAGTTTTATGATCTAGAAGATCGAGTGGTCAGGATTTATGAGTTGGAAGATCCAGTGGTTAGGGTTTATGAGCTAGAATATCCCGTGGTTAGGGTTATGAGTAAGAAGATCCAGTTTCTAGTTAGGGTTAGGGTTATAACTTATGATCTAGAAGATCCAGTGATTAGGGTTTATGATCTAAAAGACACCGTTAGGGTTAGGGTTATGATCTAAAAGACACCGTTAGGGTTAGGGTTATGATCTAAAAGACACAGTTAGGGTTAGGGTTATGATCTAAATGACACAGTTAGGGTAAGGGTTATGAGCTAAAAGATCCAGTGGCCAGTGCTCATGTTGGTCCGGTCCATCAACCCCTGGCTGTGGGCGGCCATGTGGTACCACCACCTCCCCTGCACACCCATCCCCACCGGCCACACCCAGCCCCCACTGCTGCCCGGGCAGGTGGCTGTGCTGTACACGTACGCGAAACGTTCAGATCTCTCCAGCGAGTCACGCTCCAGCATGCGTCCGAAGGTCACCTGCTTACAACAACCGTGCGGGTGCGACACGACAATAGCGAGCCCTCCCGTCTCTTCCGTCTCGTAATTCTCTCCGGCTACTTTGATCAGATGGTTGGCTTCGGCCGAGCGAAGACGAATTTTTTCGAAAAATTCGAAATCGTGGGTGACAGCGAGGAACTCAGAGTGGTCCGAGTCCATTTCAAGGTCGGAGTGCTTGATACTCTTCCCCTTCAAAGTCACCGTGTTTTCTTGATCCTCGTCATCGTGGTAAAAAAACTTGACACTCGTTCTCTCCACTTCGCTGGTGTCGAACACCACATGCATGGCCGTCATGATGACAATACAGCCCCAACTGGTCGCCGGCCGGCCAGATTTTTCACAGTCCTCGCACGGGCACGGGACGTCCCCGTCAAACACCATCACGTCCAGACCGTCGTCCTTGGTGCACGCGGCGGCCCATCCCGTCCCGTAGCGCGTCATGCTAGAGCCCCCGTGCTGGTGAAAAGGGTACGGGTCCGTGCTGTCCGGGTAAAACTCTGGCCTGTCCGGGCTGGTGTAGTCCACCGCGATCCTCACCACCAGCTCGCCCCAGGCCTGGACCGCTTCCAGAAGTTTCTCGTCTTTGTAGCCGTCCGGGAAATGGTCGATGGTCAGTGAGCTGAAGGGGAGGAAGTCCTTGTGGCCGGGGTTCTTGGTGCACCCGATGATCTGACGGTGGAGGTCTGCCTCCCCTCCGAAGGAAACCTCAGCCTCGTACAGACCTGGACAACACACAACACACTTATATCTCATTACTTTAACAACACACAACACACTTATAACTGATTACTTTAACAGCACACCCAAACAACACATAACACACTTATAATTGATTACTTTAACAGCACACTGTAGATAGCTTTATACTAATCTTAACAACATCACACATGGTAGTGTTTCATACAGACTAAACCACACAACACACCATACACACTGTAGACAATTTCCTTCATGCCGTAAAAACATACAATACAAACATATGACACGTAGTACTAAATTTTTTTCCCTTAGAAAAGATGTATCACACTCACACCAAAGTTGTTCAAATTTCAATAACCGTGTATGTCTAATGGGAGTGTGGAGAAAAAACCCAGGACCTACCAGTGACACCCTCTAACCACCCACACAGACAGAAACAATGGAGATGAAGAGAAAAGAAA